ATCCTTCAATAAGTCATCCTTTACAATTAAGAAAGAGACTTGTATTTTCAGCCCAATGTCACGTGTGTCAAATGTTCAAAGGAATATCTTCAATCTAGCTATGTTGAAGGTGACAATCATCTATCTGCAGAGTACACACTATATTCTGATTACACACCTTCAATAATTTTTTGTCAATATTGTCAAAATACAAAAAACAGAGATAAAAGTTTTAAATAAGGACTATTAAAAAACACGTGGAACCAACTTTGAGGGGAAAAGGATGCCAATTTTCCACTATAAACTACTAATCAAGGTTTTTTAACCAAATTGATTTGGGTATAAATAGTGCAATCTCATGAAGATGACCAGTAACAATCCAATCAGTAACTAAGAACAAGTATGTTTAAATTATTCCTAATTAAGGTAGTGACTTAAGGCTGTGTATAATTACAACTATTTTAATGAAACCTCACTTAAATCATTAAAAAATTTTTAAATGAAAAAATGCCTTTTTCCTCCAATAAGACAGTCCTAACTCCTAGAATTTCAACACAACCTATTACAACACTCTCCAAGAATACAATAAAAAAATGAAATCTATCCAAAGTATAACCATCTTCACCATTATAAATCAGTGGTTCATGTTGCATATTAAATATAAACGGCAAAATGGAGTTGTAAAGAGTTTCTTTATCATTTCAACTCCAACGCTACGCGCGCTTCGCGGCGGCAGGCTACACCGTGCGGTCCTACGCCAGCCCGGAGTCCCCGCCCAACCCTGCGCGGCCGCGAGAGAGGAAGCGCTGGGGAGGGCGGGCGGCTAGGGCTCCACCAGGCCCGGCGGGGCGGGGGAAGGGGCACTGGAGGCGGCGGGGCGCGCTTCCGGAGACTGCGCGGGCGGGGCCATCGCCTCCGGGGAAGGGGTCCGGCCGGGAGTCAGGGTCAGGGTCCAGGGGTTGGAGCAGCCAGCGCGGAGCAGCAGGTGGGGCGCGGCCGCGGCGGGGCAGTGGGCGGGTGGCCGGAAAAGTGCCGAGCGGGCCCCGGGAACAGCGGCGCTTTGAGAGAATCCTCCCGCTCACCTCAGACGACGACTCCGAGTCTGGCCTCTTTGCGCCGAGAACGCCTGTCCGTGAGTCGCAAGCTCTGAGACTAGGACGGGTAGCTCCAGAGACGACCGCGGACTAAGGAAAGAACCGACGGAGGGCGGCTGGCTGCGGGCGGGGAGCGCGAGCGAAGGAGGGCGGGCGGCGGTGGGAGGGCGGGGAGGGACGTGCGCGCCCCCGGGCGCCCAGCGGGCTCGAGCCGGAGCCAGTCGTGGCCCCGCGTGCGGGCGCGCACTCACAGCTCAGCCACGATTGCTCAGTAGCACGTCCACGCCCTAAAAGCAAGACGCCTAACCAATCATTGCTGCCGCGTGGAGCATCACGGGAACTCCGGGGCTATAAAAGACCCGGTTGCTATTTTATGCTTTCGGAGTCACTCATCCTTTAAGTAAGCAGGGTGGGGTTGGGTGCGCTTGCGCAGTTTTAATACTCCTCCCCAAACTGCCAACTCTTCGCGCAAGCGAGTTAGGGCTCCTCCGCTTTTTATTACGCGTGCGCACTGGTGGTCCTGACCCGGAAGACCATACGCCTGCGTGGTAGGGACTGGGGTGACAGTACCCCGGGTGGGGCGCGGGCCAGTCATGGCGGAACCTTGGTCTGGGCAGTCTTTGCATGCTTTGCCGGCCACGGTGCTGGGCGCGCTGGGCGCCCTGGGCAGCGAATTCCTGCGGGAGTGGGAGGCGCAGGACATGCGCGTGACCCTCTTCAAGCTGTTGCTGCTCTGGTTGGTGTTAAGTCTCTTGGGCATCCAGCTGGCCTGGGGTTTCTACGGGAACACAGTGACCGGGTTATATCACCGCCCAGGTGAGGCTCCCTACGAACCTCCGTGGGCTGGCCGACCCACCACCACCACCACTACTAGGCTGTACCATTGGTTTCCATAGAATCTCCTTAGACTACTAATGATCCCCCAAAGAGGCTCATCAGAATTTGTAGTTGTGCATTGACCTGTGCCACCATACCATTTTAATGCCAGAATTCCCACCAGTCCATCCATCACATAGTAACTGTTCCTCAAAACCCTCACCAGATAATACTAGTCCCTTAGAACCCCCACCACTCTCCACCAAAAATAACCGTTCCCTGACCTGAGCTAATGTCTGCCCAGATCCCCATCCCCAGCCTGCTGCAGCTCTGGATGTATTTCTCCAGGTCTGGGAGGCCAGAATGGATCCACACCCGATGGCTCCACGCATTTTCCTTCGTGGTGAGTAAATCTGTCTCTACCCCAACCCCATGCTTGGCAGATAGAGGTCATCCCTGTGTTATTGACAAGAAGGGGGATTCTCAGGGTATCAGTTCGTCAGCTTAGTGTCCTTTGCAGCACTCTTCTAAATTTCTATGCAGAGTTCAAGCTTCAAGGTGGCATGACACCAGTGTCTGGAGAATCATCACCAGCATGCTGTTCAACAACCTGTGGGGTGGTTAGTGGTACTGTCATAATTTTCAGAGATGAAGTGGCAGGTATGTGGGACCAAGCCCTTCACTTGGGAAGTCCCTCAGTTGCCTCTGTTCTAGGCAAGTGCTCTACCCCAATCTCTATTTTTACCACACTGATCTCATTGGCGTCAACCCCCTCATCTGTAAAACAAGAACTAATTTATCAGAGCATTCAGTCACCAAATCTTTGAGCTTCTACCACTGGCAAATGCCACACTGGACCCAGAGAACAAGGAGAACCCAGGTCCGCTCATAGAAGGGAGCAAGAGATTTATAATGGGGGGGGGGGCAGCTGTGCAGAGGCACAGGTGATCAGGGAAGTCATCTCCCAAGACACCTAAGCTGAGATCAAAGGCCAGGGGATGGTTTAGTGTATTGGGCATGGAGATTGGATAAAACAAGGCACACAGGTGATATAAGAATAGATAAAGCTGTCATGGTGGAGTTTGAACATGTAGACATGGAGGGCCTAAGGAGCCATTGAAGGACTGACTCAGCAAGGTTGTGGCCTGAATTTGCCTGGTTGATGACAAATAGATAAAGGGGTCCAAGAGTGAAGGTAAGAGATCATTTAGGAAGACTACCACTGCCCAGCTTTCTGTCTTGGGCAACTAAGGTAGGATGGGTGCTCCATAAGGTAAGGATCCAAGAAAAACAGGTTTGCAGGGGGAAAATGGTAAGCCCTGGGTGGGCTGTGAAAGATCAGCCTAAAGGTCTGAATTATAGTGCAGCTCTACTGAGCCCAGCTGAGTAAAGGGGCTGGGGAGATTATTCTGTCTCTTCTCTTTCCATCTCCTTCAGGGAAATGGCAGCAAATGAACCTCTCAAAACTCACAGGGAATAAGAGAAGGCAGCAGAAGAGTCTCAAGAGGCATCACGAGGTCTGCTGGCTTTTGCAATGGGTCCTGCTGCTACCCAGACCCCAGGGACAACTGCAGGGGGTTTGGAATTGGGGGCAGAGAGTACCCCAATGCTTTCAGGACTGGGCCTCCATTACATTCAGACTTGTTTCCAACTGTCCCAGGTACTGGGCAAGTAAAGAGTTTTCCTCTACCCTGATACGGGTGCCTTAAGGAGAGAAGACATGTTGCTTCTCTCTCCGGTGTCAGCTCAGGAGAAATCTTTGGGTGGGGAGGCCAGTAGTCCCTTTTCTGTCTTATCTTTTTCCTTTCTCCCTTCTTATCCTTCTGGGATGTGACCCCATAGTGATGTATCACTCTAAGAAGCCAGAGGTTGACCAAATCTGAGATTTGTAAGGAAAATCAGCTCTCCCTGAAGCCCTCAATTTCCTGAATTTCTTTGGTTTTGCTTTATTGGCAGAGCACCAGGTAATCCTGGCCTTTTACTCTATGATTACTTAGCTGGCCATTTAAGTAGAAGGCAGAGTATCCCTGCTGGCACCATCCACACTTAAGCACCAAATCCCATCTCCTTCACCCAACCAGAGCTCTCCACGTATGAACCAGGCAAAGGAAATTGTCATTTATCATCTGTCCTCATGTCTCTGCACTTCTTGGGAGAAAGTTGGGTGCCTGAAAGAGAGACCACAAGCTGAGCCCCTGGGTTGGCTTCTCACTCATATTGTTTAAATACCCATGGGATCTTGGGTCTATACCCTCCCCCCCCCCAATAGGAAAGTACTAAGCACTTATAGTATAGTGACTTCCTCATGCCTTGCAACTTCATGATTTTCCACCTTAAACTGGATCAGGGGCCTCATCCTAAGAGCCACAAGCACATCTCAGCCCCTAGAAACCCTCAACAGGAAAGAGCCACAAGCCAGGCAACCTTGGCCTCTTTACAGTGGGCCAGGAGAGGTTCCAAAAGGGTAGATGGCAAATGGCCCTATACAAACACTGCCTCCAGAAAGCATTGTGGCTCTGGACTTGCCTCCTTCCCTAATGGCTGTACTTCTGCTTGCCTCTGCTGGGCCACCAGCTATCTCAGTGTCACACTGCCTGCTTCTTCTGTTAGATGTCACATATCCATCTGGCAGCCTTTGCTTAGGCAGATCTTTTTGTGACAGAGAAACACTGGAAGTGAGACTGCACTGCACTCAAGCTTATGTACCCACTTCACAGCTGTCATCTGGCTTGAAGGATGATGCTTTCTTCATAGCCCCAGACCCATCTGCTGGCACCACCACATATACATTTAGGGTCTCACATTTCACTCCAAGCCCAAGTGAGGATGTAGCTTATTAAACAAAGAAGTGCATTGCTTGTGTGGTTATTCAAACAAGGCAAGTGGACATGCACAGGGGGCAGCTGGTGGGGGAACTGCCGAAGATTTGCAGAGATGAGAGGTGATGCCAGTTCCTTGGAGGAATGGTGGTGGGCACCCAACAAGGACAGTATTCCCATTAGTTCTTATAGAACTGGCTCTCTCAAGTCCTCCCATCTTGGAGGCCAGGAATGCAGGCATTGGGTTGACAACCCAGGAACCCTGAACAATGAAGCTAGAGACCATGGGAAGTTGGAAGGAATAAGCTCATTTAATTTTTTTCAGGAATCAGTAAAGTCTAGTTATGGGTCCCAGGGGTGAAGGTCACCTCAGGTGGTAAATTTGCCATGGTTTGCTACTGGGCAGTGGGCCAAGCCAAATAGGGAATGTGGAAGAGTGAGTCCATGTCTGCTCACCCACCCCCAGGTTTACACATAGGAATAACTAAGCCAATGTTCCATGACTCAAGAATCATTCCTGTACAGGGAGAGGAAGCAGTTTGCATTCATGGAAAGCAAAGTGAAGGAGGTTTGCTAAGCTCACACTGTCCACAGTAATAGCCCTCTGAAATGTGAGAAACTGGTGAGGTAGATTGGGCAGGTATTCTCCCTACAAAGTTGAACTTTTGCTTTATAGCCAGCACTTATGGCAGAGTAGAGTTACTGGGGTTATGAACTGAAATAGGACATAGGGTGAGCTGAAATCAGTGGCATGTATTGGGGTTTAGGGGTAGTCTCAGTGGCCTCCTCAAATAGACTAGAGCCAAATTCTAATTAGCTGCCCACTCCTGGTGAATTCTTCCTCATTATCCTGACTGAGCCCTAATGAATGCCCCCTAGAGGTAGACTTCCAGAGAGGAGCGCCCTTCCCTGGGCCTTTTTCAATTCAGAGTGTAGTAGTTCGTGGGTACAAAGGGCATTTTGCTGACCACAGCCATCTGCTGCTTCCGCCGCACCTCTACAAGCAGCTGTGTTCCTGGCTGACTGTACTTGAAGGGCACATAACCCATTGCCACATTCTTCTTCAGGCAGGGTGAGGGGCAGCCACTGGTCACAGTACCTGTCCAAGCATAGGCCATGTGTCAATACCACCATGCCAGCCCAATACCCCAACACTTTTGGGGAAGGAACAAGGGCTCCCCAGCTTCCCTGGATCACTTACCAATCATGATGCCTTCTGTGCTCAGGATGGGGTTGTGTGCCCGCATTGGAGCCCCCTCACACATCAACCCCACACGCTTCCGCTGCACCTCACCTTTCAGCTGGGGAATAATAACCTTAGCTCCTGGGAAATCCATAGCAGCTCGGCGACGCTTCCCTGGAACATGATACATCAGACCTAAGTCACAGCCTGTAAAAGCCCTGGCCACAAGAGGTCCTAGATACAAGGACCCCAAATGACATTCATCAAGATCATTTGGGCTCTCCCAGGCTGATTCCTCTCTTGCACTGCAGTCAGCCAGCCAACCACCTCCTACCCACAGAAAACCATGCTGAGGGTCTTCAGTTTGTAATGGGCAGAGCCACAGTAGACCTTCAGGGAATGGAGGCTCAGCAAGGCTGAGTCACTTGCTCCAACTGTTAGGAGCAGTTATAAGCCAGCTGACCTCATTAAAGGTCACTCCAACCTGCAGAATCCCTTCAGTGCTAGCCCAACTCACCCAATGTCCAACCAAGGCTGCCCTCAACAGGTGTGGTATGTTCATCAATATCATTCCCATACAGGCAGAGGCCTGCTTCCAGGCGCAGGCTGTCCCTGGCAGCCAGCCCTGCCAGCTTCACCTCTGGGTTTTCCAGCAGAGCCGTTGCCAGGTGGACTGCCCCAGAGGCTGGCACTGAGATCTGCATGGGACACCAGAGAGCAGGTGGTCAGTTGCTCCTATAAATTTTGTACCCTGCACTGCCCTCCATTCACTTGACATACCTCTACACCATCTTCTCCTGTGTAGCCACAACGGGTCACTCGACAGCCAGACACACCAAACACCTTCATCACAGCACTGGTCATGAAGGGTAATTTCCTCAGGTCATCTGCCACACCAGCCTGAAGAACTTGGGCTGCAGTAGGGCCTGGACCCAAGAAGCCAATGATCAAGAGTCCTGGTCCCAGCCCCCCCTCAAAGCTAGACTATAGCCCTTACTCAGTGACTAGAGTAAGTCCTGAGCAAGTCCTCTGAGACAAGATGCCTTTGCCCCTGGTCCAACAATAGTTGGGGGGGGAAAGAAAGATACCTTAGAATTATGGCACACAAATATCATACCATCTACACCTTCATTTTGAACGGCCTCTGTGTTAAGCAGTAGATGAAGCCAAGAAGACAAAGGTTAGGTTCAATCCAGCCCAGACCGCTCACCTTGCAGGGCTAGCAGAGCATTATCCACAATCTCCAGGCCCACATCACTGCCCCTGTTCTTAAGTTCCCTGACCTTGTCCTAAAAAGAAAGACAGAAACACCACACCAGTGTCTGGGACCACTTACTGAGCACCTACGATAGGCTGGACACTGCAGTGTTGAGCAATGAGATACTAGGCTGGTTCCCATCTTAGAAGGTCACACATCTACTAGATGGTAAGGCTGATCTATGCTCAGTTCTGTCACTTCTACCCTCCCCAGAGGATGCTCACTTGGTGACCAGGGTCACTTTTACCTCCCCATGTTCCCTAGTACCCACAACCAAACCCTGGCATGCTTCAGGGAGGACTTGCTCTTGAGTCTTATAGCTATTCATCATTCAGAGCCATTTTCTGAGCCTCTTGTCTGTGACCTGGACAACACGGAATACTGCTTTATGAAAAAGGAAAACAAAAGTGCCTGAAACACAGAAGGGCTATACCTGCATGAGGGCCAAGTCCTTGTCCCAGCAGCCAGCATTGGACACCACATACAGGTGTCCTTCAGAAGTATTGGTCACAATCAAGTCATCTAAGATGCCTCCAGCCTCGTTGGTAAACAGCGACAGTGTCCCCTAGCATCAAAGTGGAGCATTTTTGCTTTAGGTCCAGAAAACCAAAGCCAAGGGTAAGCAGACACCACAAACCCATGAACTTTCATGCCCAGAGCTCAGGCTGTACAAGTTGTAAGGGGCAAGGCTAGATTCAAATCCAGAGTCTTTGATTCTCACGCACCAAGTTTTCAACTCCTCCCCACCTTGGGCAATGCCCTGCAGTACTGAGAATTCCATCTCACGTTTAATCTATGATATCCAATACCTACTGCTTCATCCCACCCAGACAACTCAGCTCATGGATAAAAACCTTGAAGTCCATCTTCATCCCAGATAAACCACCAAAATACTGCAAGGCTGGCCTTAGCCTTCCCATTAAATGGATGAAGAACCTAAGGTTGTAAGGTCTCATGAATCACCTGGGGATCTTGCCAAAATAAAGGTTCTCATTCAGAAGTCTGGAGCAATGTCTGAGAGTATATTCCTAACAAGATCCCAGGAGGCAGTAAGGCTGCTGGCTTAGGGACCATACTTTGAATAGCAAGGGGATAGGAAGCATGAAAGGCCAGAAATTATACATAAAACCTTGGTTTCTGGCCTCCTAGCCTGATGTGATGATGCTGGGACAGCATCCCACAGCTGGCTAGGCATCTGGAAATGACCTAAGATCCGAGTTCCTCAAGACATTAAGGCCCAAGAATCCGTATCTGATCTATGTCTATGTCCTCAAGCTTAAGGCAGGGACCCAGCCTGATTGCTGGCTCGTGACTAAGAACACCCATTGAGCAGAAATAAAAGGGCTCACCTGATTTGGCCTTAGCTCTGCAATGTCTCCAACCACTAAACTCTCCATCAGCTTCACCCGGTCACAACCAAATATCTCGGTCTGGGAAAGAGATCAAAAGCCTTAGGCCACTGCAATAGCTGCATCTGAAAGGCCACTAGACCCTTGCTACTTGAAAGGCTGAGGCAGGAGGAAGATATGTTCGAGGCCAGCCTGGACAATTTAGCAAGATCCTGTCTCAAAAGAATAAAAAATGCTGGGGATGTAGCTTAGTGGCAGAGCACCCTTTGGTTTGGCTTCCAGTAACACACACACACACACACACAAAGCACTAGGCAAGGAGGCATCTCTCAATTCACAAGACAGTCCAACCAAAGTAATTGGTGAGTCTTTCAGTTCTGCACCCCTCACTCCCACTCCCATTTCCCAGCCTAGGGTGTTATTGGACTTAAGGGGGATACAGCATTTTACTGAAATACCCACTTTTCCAAACCAATACCCAACCCGGTGCATTGTACCAGCTCTGGAAAACCCAGGGCATTAAGGTATACAGTTTTAGGTATACAGTTAGCAAAAACAGGCAGGAGAGAACATACACAGATGATCAAGGAAACCCTGAGTTAATCAGCCAGCCCCTTGAGTTTCTTGGCCTTGCCAAAAAACCCTTAGACCTCCAGCTATTTATGGGCTGTCTTTAGAATCCCGCTCCCAGCAAACAAAGCCGAGGAGTGCAACACTGTGGTCGAGGAAGGTCTGTTTCAGCAGCAGACACACTCTCATAGCTCACCTGCAGCATGTGAGAGACATCAAAGAGCGAGCAATGTCGCCGTGTATGAAGGTGCGATTCAATGTGACTTTCCTGGTACTGTATGGGCAGACTCCAACCCGCAAATGCCACCATTTTCCCGCCATGGGCCAGGTGGAAGTCATGGAGCGGAGTTCTGCGGAGCACATCCTGTGGGCAGCCCGGTTTAGTGCCATCAGGGCCCTAGTTCCTGGCTGCATCCCTCCCCCACCCGCCAAAACCCGCAGCAAACCTCCAACACCCTTTATCCCACCTGCGAGCAACTGAGAGGGCGACCTGGGGCCGAGGGAAGCGCCTGCAGGCGAAAGCCCAAAGGGGCCACCATGCTCATAGCCCGCTGCATCGTCGCTGGCAACTAGTGCAGATGGCGTAGAGAGGCCACCACTCTGCCAGGCACGCCGGGAGATGTAGTCCAAGCCCCTACCCGAACAGGTCTTCCCAAGGCGCAAAGGATCAGAAAAGGGGGCGGGAAGCCCCGAGGGCAGGCTGGGATTCAGAGTGCAACCACTCCCAGCAGCCTCAAGTAAGACCTAATCCAGGCGGGTCAGGCAGTCCAGAGTAGACTAGGCTGCCTAGAACCAAAGCTGGAGGCTAGCCCTCCCCCAGCCCTGCCTCCAAAGGGTCAAAGTTTTGCAAGGGGCTGAAAGGCTTGAATCACACATTCAGTACCTCAGGAGTGTAAGGTCAAATGGAGGAATGGAGAGGTCACAAGAAGGTGGAGTCAATCTGGCAGGCAGAGCACCACTGCAGCCTGTCCTCGTGTAGGGTTCTCCAACTATTGCACAGGAACACACAGGCAGCCAGCACAATCATGCATTCCACAAGTATTTATTGATCTTGTCCTGTGCTGGGTACTGGGAACATAGCTGGGAATATCATATGATCCCTGCAACCCCAGGGTCCTCTTTACTCACATATACACACACTGAGGGGTATTGTTTCCTGAACACAGGACTATGGTCATCATCCTTTCAGAAAAAGTTGAGTGGGCTAAGTAAATGACCCTGAAGATAGACACCACCTGCAAGAAGGCTGATGGGTGAGAACAGAGGGTGGGAACCAAATGGTGACTCGACTAAACTTCCCCCAGAAAACTATTATGCCGCATACGTCCAGTTTGCCATGTCTGAGACAACCTGCAATATGCCTTCATAATACTCCCCCAGGGGCAAAGCTAGGAAGAACTGGAAGTAATCAAGACTTTCTCACATGAAGGAAGAAGTGCCTGCATCATTCAACAGTTGGCCCAGGTTGATGAAGTACCTTAGCCTCTTAAAAGGCACCAGTGACTCACTTGGATCCCACCTACCTACCAAGGTTGACCCCTCATGCTGAGCACAAATGCAAAGAACCAACTGAGAAAAGAAACATGGATATGCTTTGAGCTGTGTCAGATGGCACACAGGTTGTAGTTCTCATTTTCAGGCTCCAGTATTGCCAGAGGCACCTGTCCAGGCCCAATGGAACACATCCAGGAGACAGCTCAGGGATCTAGGAACTCAGGATACCTAGATCTCCAGCTTTGCCTGGTAGGCAGGTAGCAGCTGAGTTTAAACAGGAAATTTGTTTTGTAGGAATAACACCAAAGGGAAAGAAGGCCATGAGGGGGAACTGAGGAATGAATGGGGCACCTCTTCATCAAGCTTCCCAATAAATGAGTGCCAAGGGAACAGTAACCTTCTAGGGTTAGATGGAGCAGATTCATCCCAGCCCACTGCAGTCAGGGTAGGGGAACTGGCAGAAGACAGGGGTGTGCTTGTTGGCAGAAGGGGCAGAGGGTGCTCAGGAATTTTCAGTATTTTTAGGGTAGAAGAAGGAATTGTGTTGCAGCCAGATGGAAGACAGAGTGTATCCTTGTTAGGAACTCATGCTGAAGTAATACAGTAAGCCCCAAGAATCTTGAATCTGTAAATGTGGCCCAGTCAGAATGGGCATGCAAGCAACACTTGGAATGCACAGGATACACAATTCTGCCTCTGGTAGCCCAAACCAAGCCTGGATGGGCATTGAAAGGCCAATGTCTCAGCTAGGAGCCACTGCTCAAGTGTAGGAGAGCAAGTTCAGGTCATAACAGCCATCCACCTGCAAACACACACACACAAAAAAAACTATCAGGTCTGACCTGCTCAGGGCAAATGCAAGCCAAACAAGGAAACAGTCACTCACATCAAAACGGCCGATCCTCGTGGAGGTGTGACTTGCCCGGATCATTTCTGTCAGTGCCCACATCTGCTGCACCTCAGAAGACACCCTGCTGGGGTCTGGAAGACCCTGCTCAAAAGGAGGGGTCAGTGGCCAGGAGTCTCTCCCCAGAAGTACCCTTAGAGCTCTAAAGAGGCCAAGATAGCCTATGGAGCCCTCTAGTTAAGATGAGTATTCCAGATGACTTGTGAAACACAAGGCTGGGGCCTGATGTTTGGTAGGCAGCCCAGCCCAACACCAGAGATACTGCAAATCCCAAAATGTTCCCAAGAAAATGTCATAAATTGAACTAAGGGTTTTGGGTCCAGCCCCAGATTCTTATAGAAAGGGCCACCAGAGCCATTCACATGTGGTTCAGACCCAGGGTGAAAGCTTACCTCAGGGAGGGGGATAGGTTGTTCACAGGGTACTGGGTGAGACAGCCACTTGGGGAAGGTCATGGAGGGGCTCTACAAAACAAAGGTATACTGTTCTGAGTAAGGCATAGTGGGATAATTCTGGAACCTGAGAGCAGAGATAAGGGGCCCTGAGCCTCAGACACTGGAAAAATCCTGTTCAAGAGGCCCACAAAGCTCAAGGGAACAGTCAGACTACTAAGTTCTCCTGCTATGCAGAAGGAAGCCCCAGAAACATAAGCAGCAAAAAAGTCTCTTTTGGCTGGATATGGCACATGCCTGTGATCCCAGCAACTCTGGAAGTTGAGACAGAAGGATCACAAATTTGAGGCCAGCCTCAGCAACTTAGCGAGACCCTGTTTCAAAATAAAAAGACTGGGCTGGGGATGTGGCTCAAGCGGTAGCATGCTCGCCTGGCATGTGTGCGGCCCGGTTCAATCCTTGGCACCACATACAAATAAAGATGTTGTGTCCACCGAAAACTAAAAAATAAGTATTAAAAAAATTCTCTCTCTCTCTCTCTTTAAAAAATAAATAAATAAATAAAAAGACTGGGAATGTAGCTCAGTGACAAAGTGCTCTTGGCTTCAATCCCTAGTACCACAAAAAAAAAAAAAAAAGAAAAGAAAAAGGGCTGGGGATGTAGCTCAGTGGTAAAGTGCCCCAAGGGTTCAATCTCCAATTGTAGGGAGGGGATGGAGAAAGTGTGTCCTGACGATTCCAACTCTGAAAATGGTGGGTAGTTCAGTGGAAGTGTCTGCCTTGCATTCGCAAAGCCCTGGGTTCAACTCCCAGTTCCAAAAAAGACAAAAAAAAAAAAAGAACCCCATCAAATGGCCAGGGAATATGGACACAGAGCCCCCACCTTTCCTCACAAACTTCTAGCATTCACATGCAACTAACTTCCATGAAAGACTCCGGAGTCTCACTATCCTCACTCTTTACCCACCCGATCCCACTGCCCCAACTCTTCCAGCCCTACCTGGAAGCCTCTTGGGAAAATGGCTAACCAACAGCTTTGAGCTAGTCACTTACCTTTGGTCCCTGCTGGTAGATCTGCAGCTCCTCCACTGTGAAAGACAGCCACAGTGGTGATGGCTGCCGTAGAATCAGACGCAGCTCCAGTACTCTGGTCATGTCACACAGCATCTGACATATACACAAACAAGAACCCAGAGAAGACCCAATTCACTTCCCAGGAACCTCCCAAACAGCAGTGAGCAAGTGCAAAGGAAAAAACGGTAGTTGTTCCAAGGAACATACCTGGAAGCCACAGCCCAAACAAGTCCCCCCCCACCCCTGTCTTCCCTCCTGGTGTACTGATCTAACCCCCACATCTCTAAGTCCTCATATTGGCTTCCCTGGCCATGCTGAGGTCAAGCTGACCTGGTGCTTGAACAGCGATATATACTCCTGGGCTCCCTCCTCACTGTGTGGATCAGGCATCAGACAGTAGTCCCGCAGGCAAGTCACCCACTTCGCTGGTGAGTGTGTTGAAGTATGCTGACGGACACGAATGCTTAAAAAGGCTGTGTAGTAATTCTTAAATGTGATCTCCTGCAACTAGAGCACACAAAACTCACCATGACAAATCAGGCCCAGAATCTGAAAGGATCAAAGACACTATCTTCTTTCTTTTGAAATGCACTCTTTTGCTAAATGTGTGTGTATGTGTGTGGGTGTGTAGGTATGTATGTGTGTGTAGTGCTGGGGATTGAACCCAGGGCGTTGAGCTTGCTAGGCAAGTGCTCTACCACTGAGGGGCATCCTCAGCCCTGCTAAACAATTTTGTTGTTGGTTTTGCTTTAGTTTTTGTTTCTTTCATTGCTGAAATTGAACCCAGGGACTCATGTATACTAGGTAAGCACTTTACCACAGAGCCACATCTCCAACTCATCTGCTAAACAATCCAACAAGCACCGCTGGGATCCAAACACAATTTTGCTTTTCTAGAAGAACCCACAGTCTAAATGAGTAAGTGCATGCAAACAAACCATGAGTGCAGATCTTGCCATATGTTTAACATGTGTCTGGATACACATCAGAGTCATCCAAAGAAATTTTTTAAAATACAGGTGTCCAGGGTCCACCTCAAACCTACTAACTCAGAATTTCCACTGTCAGGTCCTCTCAATAGTTTACCAGGTGACAATAAGGAAAAACTTGGGAGATAACCACACACTGTAACCCAAAGTGCATGGGGCCCAGAGAGCTGGTGAGGACAAGACAAAGAATGGCTTTCAATGCCAGTCCTTTAGAAATAGGATTTATCCTCTGTGCTGAGCTCGCTCAGTGTTCAGTCACTCTGCCAGCTGATATAGAAATGCAATTGGAGAGTAAAACCTGGAATCATTGGGAGGCTCTAATGAGAAATGAGTTACACCTGACCTCTGACAGGGACTGCAAGAATGGGGAGGCAGGTAGGTTTCACGGTAAATCATTGTTAACTATCCCCAGCTGTGACCAAGGACTGACCTGATCTTTTACCTCTAAGTGTGTGTGTGTGTGTGTGTGTGTGTGTGTGTAGTATTTCCAGTATCATATACCCTACTCTCTGGCACCCTGCTGCCAGTGCTCTTCTGGATGCGGGGAAGAGATGTGGAAGAGAACAGGGCAGAAAGTTCTAATAAACACTATATATTCTATTGAAGAAATAAATAAATGAGTGATTTATTAATTCGTAAGGTCAAAGGGCAGTACAAGAATACAGAGGCTTTCAGTAACCAATTTCTTCTGGGAAACGCCCAAGTTTCCAAGTTGCCCCGCCCAGGCGCCCGGGTCTTGCGCAAGGGGCGTGCTCACCTCGAAAGGCGCAACGCTGGGGAAGGTGACATCGATAACCAGCACGCCAGGCCGGCCTTGGGAAGTCCGTACGTCGCCCACCTGCAGGGCTACAGTGCTTTTCACATGACAGGGCACCGACACGCGGGACATGATGCCAGCAGCCGCGACCAGGTTGAGTCGTCGCTCGGAGCCTCCAACCTTCCTGGCTTCCGAGCAAAGAACCAAGAACTACAACTCCCGGGAAGCCTCGCACTTGGCCAGGCTAGCCAATCACCGGCGTTCAAGGCAGGCCAGGAGTCGGAAGTGCCGGCGGAAGTTTTCCTTTAGCCAATCACGATGGGAACCTTAAAGTCCACTATCCGCTGCGATCTGCAACGGTCGACTTTTTCAGAATCCAAACCTTTATGTCCACTTGTAGCACTTCCAGTCTCTCTGAATCTCTGCTATTTGATTCGGTAGGGCGGTAGCCACTTAACTGTGTATATAGCCATGAACATGAGTGAGCGTAGCGACTGGCCAACTTTAATCGCAAAGATAGATATTAGACTTTTTTTTTTTTTTTTTTTTAAGGGATTGAGGATGCCTGGTGCAGTCGCGCACGCCTGTAATTCCCAGAGAGTAAGGCGGGAGGATCGCAAAGTTCAGACCAAGGAATGGCCTAAAGAAGTTGTACTTTCCAGCCCAGGCCTGGAAACCCTCAGTGATAGGAAATAATCTGTTTCCTCCTAGGCCATTGTCAGGGGAAACAATTTGTAACCTTTAGTCTCCTGGCCATTTTCATCTCTATTTTGACTTAAGCTAATGATTCCCTTACTAGATCCTTCCAGGTTCCTGAGATATTTCCTTTTCAGGAAAGTTTCCCATGCTGGAACAGAGACTTCCCCAAATCCAAGAAGACTACAGGCTTTCTAAGGCATCCAGAGAGTACAGACAGGCTCTGGCCTTCAGGCTCCTGCTGTGAGAGCACAGCCACAAACACAGACTTGTGTAGCCTCTCATTGCAGATAAATCTAACCTCATAGCTCTCTGGTAGGGAACCCCTCCATTGCCTATACTCTGGTAGGTTGACCTTTTCAATATGAATCCTCACTGAGTCCCTCGATTTTATTTATTTTTATTATTATTATTATTTTTAGAATTTTATTTTATTTTTTAATTATTGGACACAACATCTTTGTTTGTATGTGGTGCTGAGGAGAACCCGGTCCGAACGCATGCCAGGCGACCGTGCTACCGCTTGAGCCACATCCCCAGCCCGAGTCCCTCGATTTTAGACCCAAGTACAACTCTTTTAATAAGTCCATGGATCTGGAACATGAATAGCCCCTACCAACAAGTTGGTCAGTACCTTCCACCTTTTCCAACTGGGCACCTTAACTCAAGTTACTCCCACATACTGCCTTCTTCCTTCCTAGCCTCCTCACATTCTACTCTACCCAGGACACTCTACATCTTGCTCTTAACCCACATTTCCACACTTTTATTCTAGTCTTTGTTTTTGTTTTGTTTTGTTGCTGGTATTAGGGGTTAACTCAGCAGTGCTCTAACACTGAACTAGATGCTCAGTTCTTTTTAGTTTATTTATTTGTTTGGGGGGTGAAAGGCGAG